AAAAAGTCGAGAGGGGGGAACAGAAGAGTGTTTCAAAGACTAAGGTTGAAAATTTAGAAAGTTTGTGATGTAGTACTGTGGAAATGGTCGAATATGACATACAGTGGGGTCATGATAGCTTGAACTCAGAAGTCAACTGCCGTTTTATAGACTTGTCGTATGAGTATACGTTGCCCTGGGTGCACCACATGGAGGTAAGTCTATCGCACACTCTGCTTTGCAAATATTTTACAGAGAAGCTTACCTCTTAACGGATTGGAGGTTAAATTGAAATTAAATGTATTGTACTTGAGGACATGTTATTAATTTATTCCTAAACGCTGCTAATATAAATTTCATTTAGGCACTGTCTTTTTTCTGTACGGATTCCACTTGTCTTTTCTCCATTCAGTTTGGCGTGGAATTAGATTTTTACTTTCATTCTTTATTGATCCTAGTTATTGCCTGTGATGTCAAGGTCACTCCTCTTTTCTACAATTAAGATTAATTTCTCCAGCATGGCGTATTAATTAGAGTTCTGATTTGAAGGTCGTCACTTCGCACATCTTGGTTCAATTTTGCAGGCTCAAACGTGAATATTTTGATATCAAAACGTATTGCCGATAATTGTGTGATCTTTTTTCTCGCTTGACCTGAGGTTCAAAATCCATTATCTTATGGCGTGTTCGTTCGCGCCTATGTATCGAAAGGGGCACAGATCAGTGCTTCATATTTCTTTAGAAGGCTTTGGTGTTGTTATCACATTTTTGCACACTGTGCTCTTGGGAAATAAGCAGAAATTCGGGAAGCAGTAAACGAATTCACTTACGATTGAGGCGGAGGAGGTGGTGGGTCAATATGTGTTATGAGTGCATAAGTCCGAACATCACACGTCTCTCAAACCATGCGTTGTTCACTTTATTGCAATGAACGTAATGCGCTATCTAATATTTTACTTCTCTAGAATTGGAAGTCCATGTTTCCTGGTTGAACCCCTATCAGTGATATTCACAACTTACTGACTGTAGTTGAGGTATTGGAGTGGTGTCTCTCCAGCTTGGCTCATTTAATTCTTTTGGAATCCCTTTTTGTTCCCGTTCGTCAGATGCTTAAATGACTTGGCTCTCTCAACGAAATCACGATTATTAGTTTGGAACCGTCTGTGACATCCTCGTAGAAATCAGATTCCTTACTTAAATCAAAACTCTGAACAAGAAGGCAATTTCAAGGCAACTACTGAAAATGTGAAAAGCCTAGATTTTAATTTTGGTTGTGTCTTCCTTCCTTACCTCTACATGCAGAGTAAAATGAGCAATTCCAGGCACAATGATTTCTGCCTGTACTTTCCATCGATTTATTCATCCACTTCCTACTTTTTGCCCTTTTGTGCGTTCCCTCTTCGCGCGCTCTCTCCCCCCCCCCCCCCCCCCCACCCCTCGCTCCCCTCCCTACCTCCTAGGACTTCTTATTTGCTAAGTTGATCAAAATACTCCACTCTTTTAAACGCCTTATTAATTAAATTAAATAGTCACTTTATTAAATTGCTTACGAAGAAGTTGACTCCATTTCCATTAACTTTTAGCCATTTTTTTTTCACCTTTCGATTGCCAAAGAATGTTCAGTTACTTACTAGTTTCATTCAGCTAATAATTGCCTATAATGGAGAATAGGACTTGGTGAGGGTAAAGGCCTCTTGTGTGGTTTCGTATAAGAAAGTAGCACATAATCACGTATTTTTCTTGCGAGATTGAACCAGGGTTGGTTTCTTGCCCAAATCACATTAGATACTCGTGCCCCACTTCCCTCAGCTCACATTCACACTTGCCTCGGTGTGTCTGTGAAAAAAAACGCACTTTAGTTCTCATTTACAAACCATTCATACTCCTTCGGCATTTTTTTTGTAAAATATTCATCTGCACAAGATGCTTCCAATCCCTGCACCAAATCCATCCATTTCTCTTTCGTAGTTGCTGTCGGCCAATTTTCCACCACGAGCATTAAATTCAAATGATAACAAAAATATTGTTTTAATAGTTGCCCCTCAGGTGCAGCCTTTTTTAATGGCATCAATTCTAGCGCGCTTTACTTGTTTTTTTATTCCCTTAGGATCATCGGCAGCAATGGAGGTGCCAGGTCGTCATCGTCATGCCTCTGAAATTCAGTCTGCCGCTCCTTCTAGTCTGTCGGAGAGCGTGCGCAGTTACCGCTGCATCTCTGCAGCCAACATCACCGCAGCTCCGGAGGGCTGGGCGCCAGGTGACGCTGCTTCCTATTGGTGCAGTCAAGTTGAGGAGTCCACCCATCAAGGTCCCTTCCGACGCATCTGGATGGGTCCTCAATTCACCTTCCGTCCTTATCCCTTCGGGGTGCGTCACTTTGTCTCAACCCACATTAACCTATTGAGTTATTTTGAGCAAATTTTCTTCCCAACGATCATTGCAATCGAAATTTTGTTGAGCTTCGTACAATTATCCTTCAATAAAACTTGTTGTGTACCTCATAGAGTGGGTTTGACCGCACTAAGAATTTCCTTCAAGCCACATGAACGGCCTGTTAATTCAACAAACAAAAGAACAGGAAAAAGAGAAGAGAACGTTGTGCGAATGGGTTACATGGATGAATCTTAGCCAGTGTTTATGAGGAAGAAAGAGCCATTGAGGCTGATTAGGCCTGTGAGCTAACTAGAATGTTAATTAAGTTGGCAAATGCTTTTGTATTGTGTTTTTTTGAATTTCTTGGCTGCAATTACTCCACCATGTCATTATTTACTACATATATATATATTTAGTTCTTAGTAGATTTGTTTAAATCTAGCCTTTGCACATAGTGCTGGTGTGGCATTCATCATTGAACTATCGTACCCTCTTCTTTGTTTTCTCTCCTACCTTAATAAAGCTTTCTTTTTCACATATTTAACCTCTTACTGCTATTATTTATGATCGAATGTGTGTGTGTGTGCGTGTGTGTGTGTGTATGACTTCTCCATCTTAGAAGTAGTCTCCCAGCGGCTTCCATTCTGTCCTTCCTATTGGTCCACACAACCTCCCATCTTTATAACAGCACAAACATATACTTTCATCTATTTTTGCGTTAAGCCGTCTCTAAGGCCTAGAATCGCAAAGTGATTTCGTGTTGGCTCGAGTAGCGCCGAATGCGGAATACTTGAGTTTTGTGGAGTTACTGACGTCATTAATTAAATTTGAGAAGTACAAGTGTGTGTGTGTGTACTTGCGCGATTTTCACGCCATATTTATTGTGACTTTCAATTATTTCATTTCAGCTTCAACTCATTCTTTAACTTTCTTAAGCACTCACATGCGGGGGGGGGGAAGGGGGCCCTCTATCAACAACACCAATAACAATGACTATGATTGATCAGTGTCAAAATGAGCACTTCTCATTTGCCACTCTAAGTACTTTTGTCTTAACAGAATGACAAAGTTTACTGTTTGTGCACCCATCGGTTCGAATCCAATGAACGGAATAGCCGACTGCGTACTAGTTTAAAGGAGTTGTGTGAGTCTGTGACTTTTCCATTAGTAGTACCGTGATGCCATCTGCTTTATCCAAGAGTAACATTGGACACTGCTTTACATCAGTGTGTTTGCGGATCAATGATATATTATTGGTCAACATGTACATTTGGCAAGTCAGGGGGGGGGGCGGAATTGGTGCTTTTCCATCGACTCTTCAGTTCATTCCGTTCGACAAGGAGGGATTAAGCGGGAAGGTGGCCAAGTGAATGGTTGGTTCTCGAACGCCCAACTCCAAAATAACTTCCCTTCCCTCCCTCCCTCCCTTCGTCAAATTTTATCAACGCCTCTCCTAATGTGGTACAAAAGCGTATCTTCGATACGCTTAGGAATTCTCTTAACATCCAATTAAATAGCTAGTTGAGTGTGGTAGGTTAGTCGATTTTTAGAGCATTTTGAAACCACAGAGCCATTTCCATGTCTAGGCTTTCAATGAGCTCCCATTGGCTTGAGTGCAATCGATGTCCCTAAGTCCATTTCCAAGTACTTAGTGTATACGTGCATGTCATTTGTCTTGGTCTTTCTTCAGAGTGGCGAGATGCCGAAGACGGACTCCTTCCTCTACAAGCTCACCACCAGCAGCAATCCCTGCCTGTCGCCCTCCGAGGTCGGAGGCCAATCTGCCTGCACTTGTGGAGGTGGCGGCATGGCGGCTATCTCTGCCTCATCTCTCAACGAGGCCCTCTGTTTTGCCAATCCTCGTGGTGTTAGCGCGGGTGCCCATCAGACTTCTCTCTGCTGTGGTAAGTAAACTATCACGTAGAGAGATATTTTTGTTCTCATTTTGCTCTACAACTCCTCTGCACCCCCC